ATATATTATGGTTCGAAATCAAATATGCATTCTTAAAGCTACGATCACAAAGGTTCGTTGAGATGCGTTAGTATGAATCTCCCTGTTTTTTCATTGTCTTCCCGAATTTCCGTTGGCCGAAAATCGTTCGTACGGCGCTCGTAGCAGTTCCTGTTGGCATTTCTGACCGAGAGTTAAGGTTAATTTCAAAGACGTAGTATTATAGTAAGATGAAGTATTTATCTCAAAGGTGTAAACAGTTTCTACCAAACAATACTTCAATTCAATTCGATTCAATTTTATTTCCCATCTCTTTAAAAAACACATCAAAAGATGTACAAACAAATCAGTATAAATTAAACAATATAAATATAAAAACATTCATCGACATTGACATTCATTTTTTACTTGTCATAAACTTAATTTATCAGCCTCGATTTCTATTTGAAATATGGATATTCCTCACTTAATAAAAATTATAAAAAGATAACGATAATGACGAATTTATATTTGTAACTTCAAATCCTTTGCAAATATGGAATATATATTCCATATTTAAGTTTAGTTGAAATGCTGTTTTAAATCTGAGCTTGTAAAATTTGCAATGTAATTTAGCTCTCTGGCGACCATTTTGCAGTTGTTTTAATGTAATATTCTACTACTACTGTTACTACTACTACTACTACTACTACTACTACTACTACTACTACTATTTCTACTACTAATACTACTACTACTACTACTACTACTACTACTACTACTACTACTACTATTACTACTATTTCTACTACTAATACTACTACTACTACTGCTAATCTGTAACTACTACTACTACTACTACTACTACTACTACTACTACTACTACTACTACTACTACTATTATTACTACTACTACTACTACTACTACTACTACTATACTAAAACTACTACTATTTCTACTACTAATACTACTACTACTACTACTACTACTACTTCTACTACTACTACTACTACTACTACTACTACTACTACTACAACAACTACTACTATAACTACTACTACTACTACTACTACTACTACTATTACTTCTACTACTACTACTACTACTACTACTACTACTATTTCTACTACTAATATACTACTACTACTACTACTACTACTACTACTACTATTACTACTACTACTACTACTACTACTACTACTACTACTACTACTACTACTACTATTACTACTACTACTACTACTACTACTACTACTACTACTACTTCTACTACTACTACTTCTACTACTACTACTACTACTACTACTTCTACTACTACTACTACTACTACTACTACTACTACTACTTCTACTACTACTACTACTACTACTACTACTACTACTACTACTATTACTACTACTTCTTCTACTACTACTACTACTACTACTACTACTACTACTACTATTACTACTACTACTACTACTACTACTACTACTACTACTATTACTACTACTACTACTACTACTTCTACTACTACTACTACTACTATTACTACTACTACTACTACTACTACTACTACTATTACTACTACTACTACTACTACTACTAGACGTCAATCCAGTGCAGATGTGAGTAGGAGCAGCACAAGGGCGTGTCAATTTGACATTGTGAGCAGTTGTTTTCCTGTCAATGTATCACACATGTATCCGCCATTAATTGTTCTATCTGTAAATTGTGAAAATAATATATATTTTAAATATATAATTCAAATCATAACAACAAAACAATATTGTACGGTTGGATTAGTTAGGATATCAATATTTTAAATCTTCTAAGAACGTTGATGCATTTGATGAGTAAAGAGTGTTTACAAATTTGCTTCCAGTCGCTTCTAGGTTAGCAAAGGAGGTTATAATATCCTCTGTAAAAGTGTTTACACGAAATTATATTATATAATTACTTGTATTTCTTTTTGTATAGAACATCTAATGATAAATTACACCTGTAAAACCAGATTAACAAATTTAGAACACTGAGGTTCATGAATACATAGACTAACTGCAACAAGTTTATGTAGTCTTAATTAAAATCATTCTTTTTTTAGAATGAGTGAAGTAATGTCCATAATAAGCTATACAATGAAATGTCAGTTGGTGTGTTCTGTTAATAAGATAAGTAAGTACTCCCATTTTTGTAACCTTAATATATTAAGCCGTCTGAGGTGACAGATATCACATCCACTCTCCCCTCTGTTAACAAATTGAGACCAGATGGAGAGTGAGTGAGAGAGAGAGAGAGAGAGAGAGAGAGAGGGGGGGGGGGGGGGGAGAGAGAGAGGGAGAGAGAGAGGGAGAGAGAGAGGGAGAGAAAGATGGGGGGGGGGGGGAGAGAGAGAGGTTGAGACAGATACAGCTGAGAGGGAGGGAGAGATTGTGGAATGATAAAATGGAGAGGGGAGGAGGGAGGAAAAAATATAGGAGGAGTAATAGAAAATAGAGGTTCGGGGGGGGGGGGCGCGGTGAACTTGTTTTACTAACATACATCTTACATGTACATGTACTTTGATGAAGAAAATAATATTTGAAAGTGGAAAACAGCGAGGAAGAAAAAGAAATCACCCATCGAGGGGGGGGGGGGGGGGGAGGACCTGTCTTACTTTTACAAGGAGGTGTGAGAAGTCATTTTCCCTTCTCCCTTCAATTTCCTATTCTCTCGTTTTTCCTTTCCCCCTCCCGCTCTTTTCACTTTTCTTCCTCTATCTCTCACCCTTTACATACACTCTCTCTTTCTCTCTCTCTCTCTCTCTCTCTCTCTCTCTCTCTCTCTCTCTCTCTCTCTCCTCTCTCTGTATACATACATACACCCTTACATAACCCTTGCGTTCACCTTCACATACATACACTCATTCGTACAGGGGTTGATAGGTGTGTGTTTTTGTGTGTATAACACACCCTCACGCACACACCACCACCCTCATTTATAGGTATTTACACACGAACCAATTTCATATCCTCCCGGGAAGAGCATGAAGACTGTTAAACTAATAATACAAATGACCTGTAAGAAAGAAATAAAAAAGCCACTTGACTTTTATATTTTGCAAAGATTTTAATTTCATGACAATTTATATACTAATCACGTCTGCAAGTAATGGTATCCTTACTCCTTTTTGAAAGAGAAAGATGATATCCTTCAAAAAAAAATAATATTTCATGAATATGTAATGATGATTATCGAATCATCCAAGATGTCACCTGGTATAATTAATTCGCAAAGGAGTTTTCGTTGCTGTATGAAGCAAATAAACTAAATTACACAATTCAAAACGACTATCAAACCATTGGTGACCAGTGACAGTTAGTTCTTGAGGATCAAGAAAGTTCAGGAGTCAATGGCTTAAATAAAATCCTGTGAGTAGGCTACATCTTTTTGCAGCAAAGTGAATGCACGTAGCCGGTTACTCTATCACCCGATCAAAGAATTATGAAATAAGTGATGTAACTTTGCACTTGATTTTCATTACATCCGTTTAGTTTTACCCAATCTTTCATCTCTTATCATTTCATGATCGTATAGAAGAAAAACAAATCTACATGAAAGGCCTAGATCATCATAAAGAAACTAATATTTAAGATTGGTTGCCATTCTTTGCCGTTAATGGCAAAAGTCTAAATTCGTTGTCATTTGATAAACAGCAGTCTTCTAGTCCTGCGTGGAATCAGCTTTTCATTCGTCTACACTTGGTTTGGGTTCGGAGGAGAAGGCCTCTCTAAAAGGACGAAATGAAGGATATGGTTAAATTATGGTTTCTTTTCTAGTGTCTGTGACGACTCGTCTAGCTTTAGACATACTCATGAAATGATTTCTCATGCTGCTTATTCGCCTATCGCACTCTTAATATGATATCACATCTGAATAATATCTTCATGCATTTGACATGAAAACAGGAACATTTTTCCTATTTTGATAAACTTTGGTTTTACGACTAGTTGAAACAACTTAAAACAGACGGCAATATTAGGGCAATCTGTATTGAACAGATTTTCATTTAACATTAAGGTTTTTCCAGAAAAGGATATGATTTGTCTTCAACGATCCTACATGAATGGGGGGTAACCTTGCAGTATAACCAAATATATAAAAGAGATGAATACTCTACTTACATGTTGAAGGGGTCCACTAGGAGGCGGTGGAGGGGCAGAACCGTCACGTGGTGGAGGAGGAGGAGGGGAAGAACCGTCGCGTGGTGGAGGAGGTGGAGGGGAAGAACCGTCGCGTGGTGGAGGAGGGCGAGGGGAAGAACCGTCGCGTGGTGGAGGAGGGCGAGGGGAAGAACCGTCGCCTGGTGGAGGAGGAGAGGCAGCACGTTTGCTTGGTGGAGGAGGTGGAGGGGAAGAACCGTCGCGTGGTGGAGGAGGAGGAGGGGAAGAACCGTCGCGTGGTGGAGGAGGGCGAGGGGAAGAACCGTCGCGTGGTGGAGGAGGGCGAGGGGAAGAACCGTCGCGTGGTGGAGGAGGGCGAGGGGAAGAACCGTCGCCTGGTGGAGGAGGAGAGGCAGCACGTTTGCTTGGTGGAGGAGGTGGAGGGGAAGAACCGTCGCGTGGTGGAGGAGGAGGAGGGGAAGAACCGTCGCGTGGTGGAGGAGGGCGAGGGGAAGAACCGTCGCGTGGTGGAGGAGGGCGAGGGGAAGAACCGTCGCGTGGTGGAGGAGGTGGAGGGGAAGAACCGTCGCCTGGTGGAGGAGGAGAGGCAGCACGTTTGCTTGGTTGATGAGGAGGAGGGGAAGAACCGTCGCGTGGTGGAGGAGGGCGAGGGGAAGAACCGTCGCGTGGTGGAGGAGGGCGAGGGGAAGAACCGTCGCGTGGTGGAGGAGGGCGAGGGGAAGAACCGTCGCGTGGTGGAGGAGGTGGAGGGGAAGAACCGTCGCCTGGTGGAGGAGGAGAGGCAGCACGTTTGCTTGGTTGAGGAGGAGGAGGGGAAGAACCGTCGCGTGGTGGAGGAGGGCGAGGGGAAGAACCGTCGCGTGGTGGAGGAGGGCGAGGGGAAGAACCGTCGCGTGGTGGAGGAGGGCGAGGGGAAGAACCGTCGCGTGGTGGAGGAGGTGGAGGGGAAGAACCGTCGCCTGGTGGAGGAGGAGAGGCAGCACGTTTGCTTGGTTGAGGAGGAGGAGGGGAAGAACCGTCGCGTGGTGGAGGAGGGCGAGGGGAAGAACCGTCGCGTGGTGGAGGAGGGCGAGGTGAAGAACCGTCGCCTGGTGGAGGACGTGGGCCGGTGCCATTACCTGGTCTCGGCCGAGGTGGGCCAGTACTGTTGCCTGGTCTTGGTCTTGGGTTTGGTCTCTGTGGCCGATCGCCGTTTGCTTTACGAATTTAAGAGAAAAAATACGGACCAACTAAAACATACTTCTGCACAGTCTTATATGAAAGGAGGAGGGCGAGGGGAAGAACCGTCGCGTGGTGGAGGAGGGCGAGGGGAAGAACCGTCGCCTGGTGGAGGAGGTGGAGGGGAAGAACCGTCGCCTGGTGGAGGAGGAGAGGCAGCACGTTTGCTTGGTTGAGGAGGAGGAGGGGAAGAACCGTCGCGTGGTGGAGGAGGGCGAGGGGAAGAACCGTCGCGTGGTGGAGGAGGGCGAGGTGAAGAACCGTCGCCTGGTGGAGGACGTGGGCCGGTGCCATTACCTGGTCTCGGCCGAGGTGGGCCAGTACTGTTGCCTGGTCTTGGTCTTGGGTTTGGTCTCTGTGGCCGATCGCCGTTTGCTTTACGAATTTAAGAGAAAAAATACGGACCAACTAAAAACATACTTCTGCACAGTCTTATATGAAATGCTGTTAACGTACATGCACTTTATTCGCCTCATATGACTGCTCAGTACCTAATGACATTGATATCTTTAACAAATACCCTTTTAGATTTAGCACATGGAAAGCTTGAAAAGTTTCCCGTATCGATGATCCAAATATGTTTATACTTACGAGCCTGTGCGGCACAAATAGCAGCAAGGACCAGGATGACAAAGAGTCCGCTGAGAATGATTCGGCCTGCCATGATGATATTGATGATATCAGCTTGGAGTTGTCTTCGGTTGCGTGTGATCAGTATCTGGAAGGACACTGACTATGGCTTTCATGGTTCTACCAGCCTTCTTTTTATACATTTCCCAAGTCTGAATTTTTTAAGGTAGATCCTAAAAGGTATATCATTCAGAGTGTACGAAGTGTTAGATTTCAAGGCGCAATGTTTACCAATCCTTACATGGTTGTGTCTACTTCTCTTAGATGGCGACACATTACCATCCCTTCTAACTGTTGATGAGAAAACGGCGTCTCCGATCATTGTACATCTGTTCGTGTTTAGTGTGTGTATTGTCTAATGGATTTAATTTCGTTTATATTGGAGTGGTGTTCTTTTTAATGAGCAAACGTCTGCGTTTGTTTTATTCTTTGATCATGTAGTCCTACGCAAACTTTTTAGAGGACATGAGTTGCAATAGCGTAGTGTGGGCTAAGCAAGAGGGGGGGGGGGGGGGGGGGAGAGCGCTGGTATCAGAGTCGTGCACATACTTTTGTTTTCGTGCTAGAATGGTGAATAAAAAGGCTTCCAATTAATTGGATGGAGGTGAAGGAAGTTCTTTCACCTCTTTCCCGCGTTCCCCTCTCTCTGTCTCGCTGCCTCTCTCTCGTTCTCCCCTCTCTGTCTCTATTTGTCTGTCTCTGTCTGTATGTGTATTGCATTCGAAGGGGGAGGGTGGTGGTGTAGATAGTGGTGTAGATGGTGATGAAGAAAGATTTAACATCCTGTCCCTCTCTCTCTCTCTCTCTCTCTCTCTCTCTCTCTCTCTCACACACTCTCCATCTGGTCTCAATTTGTTAACAAAGGGGACATTAGCCTTTTGACAAGGCCTCGTGACTCTGGCTAAGCAGCTGAGATGAGTCTAGATACCCGGGGTGAATGCGCTGTTAATAGGAACTCTTAGAATTGCACGTCTACAGCTGTGACTGCAACGTGTGACGTCATTTTAAGGCACTGCGCATGCGTTACGTCGTCTCACTCGGCGATCGAGAATGCGTCAACCTTGATTTTTCTAAATCTAGTACATACATACATACAAACATATTGATATTTATATAGCGCCTTTACATGCTCAAGGTACTAGTATGCCGCGTGCGCATACACTATTCAGTTCCTCACGTAGACAAAGGAACATTCCTTCCCTGCTATTATGTAAAAATGTGTAGAACAGGTGTCACATGCATATTCACCTGTTCTACACATTTTTACATAATAGCAGTGAAGGGATGTTCTTTTGTTAATGGTAGAATGAGGAACTGTATATTTTGTCCTCTTTCTTTGTCCGTGATATTCATAGTGTTACTTCCTGCATGCATGTATATCGTCGAGTGCAATCTGTAAGATTTCTAATTGTAGTTAAGTACGTTGACACGCATGATCAGTCGGCGTTCGTCGTGTTCTCGTCCACTGAATCTAAAAGTCCCTATTCTCGCTCTGTCGTTCACTCGGGCTTTCGCGATTAGTTTCTTTTTTTAGTCGCTCGGCGTCTATCAGACATGTGGCCTTGTTCAAAGGCTAAGGGGACAGTAGCTTTGATATCTGTCACCTCAGAAGGCTTACTATATTAAGGTTACAAAAACGCATCGTTCGTACGAACCTTTGTGATCGTAGCTTTAAGAATGCATATTTGATTTCAAACCATAATATACTGCAAATTATATGCCTTTTCACAATGCTACTCGATAATGTAATTCAACACAGTCACACACAATATGCGAGGATCTATCATACAGTGGGTCCCAGAAAAAAAAAAACGAAACCGAGAAGCATCGCTGTTTTATCATTACTTAATCGCAATTATAATTGATAAATGACACATATTTGTCAAGCTTAGATTCTCCTCTTTTAATTGATGTCACTTATATGATGCATATTTCACGCATTAGTGATTAAAATGAATTTGAAGAGAGGAAACCAAAAAAAAAATCATTTGGCGGACGGTATCTGAATTTCAAAGAGAAAATCACATTTCTAGAAAGTTGAGTTTCTGCCCTTTCATATGACACCTCAGTCAGGAAAAATGAGCTAGGAATAACAAAGTTCTGTTTGTTTGAAGTAGTGGTTGCATTTCCTTTTTTTTTATTAAACGAATTCATTTTCACTGGCTGTTTGCCGTAGCAACAAACGGAATTAACAAAAGACTTAACTCCGTTTCGTTTACAATCAGCCGTAGACGAAATGCATGGCTGATTGTCAACGAAACGGAGTTAAGTTTTGTCAATTCTGCTAGTTGCAACGGCAGGCAGCCTGTGAAAACGAATTCGTTTGATAAAATTGTGGAAATGCAAGCACATATAAATGACATCAAATGAAATAGGAGGATCTAAGCTTTCCAAACATGTGTCATTTAGTAATTATAAATGTGAATAAGATATGATAAAACATCGATATTTCGCGGTTTCGTTTTTTTCTGGGACGCACTGTGGAAGCATAATTGAACAAAACTGAGAGAAAGAGAAAGTGCCTGGGAGAGAACATTTTAAAGAGAGAGAGAAAAAAGGGAGAGAGAGAGGACGGCAAGAGAAGAATGGACAAGTGGAACTGGAAGACATGGAGAAGAAGAATGATGATGAAAGTAAGACACCGAAGAAAAAGCAATTGGATTTAGTAAGAAAGGAAGTTATTTATATATTGGACATTTCAGAGTCACTATAAAAGTTTCCTTTACACAGAAAAATAACAATTTGCCAAATATACATGACTAAGATAAGATGTATGCGCAAAAACTTTAAATCTGAAAAGAGATAACATATAATGGGACTGTGCATAACTAAGAGAGTAATACTAATAATACTAATAGACAACATTTATAATGCGCCATGTTTGTCAAAAATGACACTCCTGGCGCAGTTGTGTGGAAATTGTATAATTTCACCAGTAACTAGTCAATTAAAGCACAGGTTTATCCATATTGATTCATTAGAATTGGGATCACTTGAGCTAATCTTTATATATTCATAAATAAAGTACTATAGATCCATTGAAGCAAGAACAGGCATACAGTTTGAATAAGAGTTGTGGAATCAAACATGAATCAAAATAATGTATGCAGTGTGTGTCTGCAACAGTCTGGCGATCACACATGGCGATCTGTCGTGCGTATCTGGACACCTACCCCTGGACAACCACCCCCGGATAACCAGCCCAAGGATAACCACCCTCTAGGAAAACTACCCCCTAGAGCAACTACCTTCTAGGAGGACCACCCCTAGGACAACTACTCCCCGGACAATTACCACAAGACAACTACCCCCTAGGAAAACTAACCCGGACAAATACCCCTGGACAAATACCCCCAGAAAACTACCCCCTAGGATAGTTGTCCCAGAGGATGGTTGTACAGGGGGTAGGTGTCCTAGAACCCTGTCGTAAACACGCTCTAGTCATCCACATCCTCCTTACCGTTATCACTCTCAAAGCTGTCATCCTCGTACGTCATAGCCGCTTCTTGATCTTCGTGTTCTGGGGGTGAGAGGTAACTGATTTAAAGGTGGAAGGTTCGTTCTCATCTTCCATTATCCCGCTACCACTGTCCTCATTCTTTATAATCCCATCTTCATCAGTCACCCAAGGTTCCTTTCCAGAGGAGCTACCTACCCTACTACCAACGACATTCAATAGCATATTCACGGAGGCTTTCCTCTACATCAGTAAAGTCATCTTCAGTTGCCATGGTAATATTGTGTTGAGGTGAGGAGGTTTCGATCAGGTTCTGCCACTCCCCTTTATCTCCATTCTACAAAATCATAATAAAATGTGAAACCACTTTAAGTTTTGTCCTAAAATTAAGTTTTCCAGTAAATGCTTGTAAATAGATACGACCTGTGCAATACAAATCAAACATGCAACATTCATAATGATGTAAGGATGCATTTATAAGTGTTGGTTACAGCACTGAAAAGGAAAAAATGTGAATGCTCCTATCATAGGTATTTATATTAAAGACGTTTGTTTTGTGCAAATTAATACCTAGATTTTGTATTCCATAAACTTACGTGACTAGATAAAGATATAAAGAAAGAATACAGAAAGAATTGGAAGTATGTATTCGTTTGAGAGAGAGAGAGAGAGAGGGACAGGATGTTAAATCTTTCTTCAATACCATCTACACCACTATCTACACCACCACCCTCCCCCTTCGAATGCAATACATATACAGACAGAGACAGACAAATAGAGACAGAGAGGGGAGAAAGAGAGAGGCAGCGAGACAGAGAGAGGGGGAACGCGGGAAAGAGGTGAAAGAACTTCCTTCTCCTCCATCCAATTAATTGGAAGCCTTTTTATTCACCATTCTAGCACGAAAACAAAAGTATGTGCACGACTCTGATACCAGCGCTCTCCCCCCCCCCCCCCGTCCCCCCTCTTGCTTAGCCCACACTACGCTATTGCAACTCATGTCCTCTAAAAAGTTTGCGTAGGACTACATGATCAAAGAATAAAACAAACGCAGACGTTTGCTCATTAAAAAGAACACCGCTCCAATATAAACGAAATTAAATCCATTAGACAATACACACACTAAACACGAACAGATGGACAATGATCGGAGACGCCGTTTTCTCATCAACAGTTAGAAGGGATGGTAATGTGTCGCCATCTAAGAGAAGTAGACACAACCATGTGAGGATTGGTAAACATTGCGCCTTGAAATCTAACACTTCGTACACTCTGAATGATATACCTTTTAGGATCTACCTTAAAAAATTCAGACTTTGGAAATGTATAAAAAGAAGGCTGGTAGAACCATGAAAGCCATAGTCAGTGTCCTTCCAGATACTGATCACGAGCAACCGAAGACAACTCCAAGCTGATATCATCAATATCATCATGGCAGGCCGAATCATTCTCAGCGGACTCTTTGTCATCCTGGTCCTTGCTGCTATTTGTGCCGCACAGGCTCGTAAGTATAAACATATTTGGATCATCGATACGGGAAACTTTTCAAGCTTTCCATGTGCTAAATCTAAAAGGGTATTTGTTAAAGATATCAATGGCATTAGGTACTGAGCAATCATATGGGGCGAATAAAGTGCATGTACGTTAACAACATTTCATATAAGACTGTGCAGAAGAATGTTTTTAGTTGGTCCGTATTTTTTCTCTTAAATTCGTAAAGCAAACGGCGATCGGCCACAGAGACCAAGCCCAAGACCAAGACCAGGCAACAGTACTGGCCCACCTCGGCCGAGACCAGGTAATGGCACCGGCCCACGTCCTCCACCAGGCGACGGTTCTTCCCCTCGCCCTCCTCCACCACGCGACGGTTATTCCCCTCCTCCTCCTCAACCAAGCAAACGTGCTGCCTCTCCTCCTCCACCAGGCGACGGTTCTTCCCCTCCACCTCCTCCACCACGCGACGGTTCTTCCCCTCGCCCTCCTCCACCACGCGACGGTTCTTCCCCTCGCCCTCCTCCACCACGCGACGGTTCTTCCCCTCGCCCTCCTCCACCACGCGACGGTTCTTCCCCTCCTCCTCCTCAACCAAGCAAACGTGCTGCCTCTCCTCCTCCACCAGGCGACGGTTCTTCCCCTCCACCTCCTCCACCACGCGACGGTTCTTCCCCTCGCCCTCCTCCACCACGCGACGGTTCTTCCCCTCGCCCTCCTCCACCACGCGACGGTTCTTCCCCTCGCCCTCCTCCACCACGCGACGGTTCTTCCCCTCCTCCTCCTCAACCAAGCAAACGTGCTGCCTCTCCTCCTCCACCAGGCGACGGTTCTTCCCCTCCACCTCCTCCACCACGCGACGGTTCTTCCCCTCGCCCTCCTCCACCACGCGACGGTTCTTCCCCTCGCCCTCCTCCACCACGCGACGGTTCTTCCCCTCCTCCTCCTCAACCAAGCAAACGTGCTGCCTCTCCTCCTCCACCAGGCGACGGTTCTTCCCCTCCACCTCCTCCACCACGCGACGGTTCTTCCCCTCGCCCTCCTCCACCACGCGACGGTTCTTCCCCTCGCCCTCCCCCACCACGCGACGGTTCTTCCCCTCGCCCTCCTCCACCACGCGACGGTTCTTCCCCTCCTCCTCCTCAACCAAGCAAACGTGCTGCCTCTCCTCCTCCACCAGGCGACGGTTCTTCCCCTCCACCTCCTCCACCACGCGACGGTTCTTCCCCTCGCCCTCCTCCACCACGCGACGGTTCTTCCCCTCGCCCTCCTCCACCACGCGACGGTTCTTCCCCTCCTCCTCCTCAACCAAGCAAACGTGCTGCCTCTCCTCCTCCACCAGGCGACGGTTCTTCTCCTCCACCTCCTCCACCACGCGACGGTTCTTCCCCTCGCCCTCCTCCACCACGCGACGGTTCTTCCCCTCGCCCTCCTCCACCACGCGACGGTTCTTCCCCTCCTCCTCCTCAACCAAGCAAACGTGCTGCCTCTCCTCCTCCACCAGGCGACGGTTCTTCCCCTCCACCTCCTCCACCACGCGACGGTTCTTCCCCTCGCCCTCCTCCACCACGCGACGGTTCTTCCCCTCCTCCTCCACCACGCGACGGTTCTTCCCCTCCACCGCCTCCTAGTGGACCCCCTTCAACATGTAAGTAGAGTATTCATCTCTTTTATATATTTGGTTATACTGCAAGGTTACCCCCATTCATGTAGGATCGTTGAAGACAAATCATATCCTTTTCTGGAAAAACCTTAATGTTAAATGAAAATCTGTTCAATACAGATTGCCCTAATATTGCCGTCTGTTTTAAGTTGTTTCAACTAGTCGTAAAACCAAACTTTATCAAAATGGGAAAAATGTTCCTGTTTTCATGTCAAATGCATGAAGATATTATTCAGATGTGATATTATATTAAGAGTGCGATAGGCGAATAAGCAGCATGAGAAATCATTTCATGAGTATGTCTAAAGCTAGACGAGTCGTCACAGACACTAGAAAAGAAACCATAATTTAACCATATCCTTCATTTCGTCCTTTTAGAGAGGCCTTCTCCTCCGAACCCAAACCAAGTGTAGACGAACGAAAAGCCGATTCCACGCAGGACTAGAAGACTGCTGTTTATCAAATGACAACGAATTTAGAATTTTGCCATTAACGGCAACGAATGGCAACCAATCTTAAATATTAGTTTCCTTATGATGATCTAGGCCTTTCATGTAGATTTGTTTTTCTTCTATACGATCATGAAATGATAAGAGATGAAATATTTGGTAAAACTAAACGGATTTAATGAAAATCAAGTGCAAAGTTACATCACTTATTTCATAATTCTTTGATCGGGTGATAGAGTAACCGGCTACGTGTATTCACTTTGATGCAGAAATGAAAAAGAAAGTAGCCTACTTACAGGATTTTATTTAATCCATTGACTCCTGAACTTTCTTGATCCTCAAGAACTAACTGTCACCGGTCACCAATGGTTTGATAGTCGTTTTGAATTGTGTAATTTAGTTTATTTGCTTCATACAGCAACCAAAACTCCTTTGCGAATTCATTATACCAGGTGACATCTTGGATGATTCGATAATCATCATTACATATTCATGAAATATTATTTTCTTTGAAGGATATCATCTTTCTCTTTCAAAAAGGAGTAAGGATACCATTACTTGCAGACGTGATTAGTATATAAATTGTCATGAAATTAAAATCTTTGCAAAATATAAAAGTCAAGTGGCTTTTTTTATTTCTTTCTTACAGGTAATTTTTATTATTAGTTTAACAGTCTTCATGCTCTTCCCGGGAGGATATGAAATTGGTTCGTGTGTAAAGGCCTAGAAATGAGGGTGGTGGTGTGTGCGTGAGGGTGTGTTATACACACAAAAACACACACTTATCCACCACTGTACGAATGAGTGTATGTATGTAAAGGTGAACGCAAGGGTTATGTAAGGGTGTATGTATGTATACAGAGAGAGGAAGAGAGAGAGAGAGAGAGAGAGAGAGAGAGAGAGAGAGAGAGAGAGAGAGAGAGTGTGTGTAAAGGGTGAGAGATAGAGGAAGAAAAGTGAAAAAAGCGGGAGGGGGAAAGGAAAAACGAGAGAATAGGAGAGAAGGGAGAAGGGATAATGACTTCTCACACCTCCTTGTAAAGTAAGACAGGTCCTCCCCCCCCCCCCTCCCTCGATGGGTGATTTCTTTTTCTTCCTAGCTGTTTTCCACTTTCAAATATTATTTTCTTCATCAAAGTACATGTAAGATGTATGTTAGTAAAACAAGTTCACCGCCCCCCCCCCCCCGAACCTCTATTTTCTATTACTCCTCCTATATTTTTTCCTCCCTCCTCCCCTCTCCATTTTATCATTCCACAATATCTCCCTCCCTCTCAGCTGTATCTGTCTCAACCTCTCTCTCTCCCCCATCTTTCTCTCCCCTCTCTCTCTCTCTCTCTCACTCTCTCTCCCCTGGCACCCTCTCTCTCTCTCCCCTCACTCTCTCTCCCTCTCTCTCTCTCTCTCTCTTACTCTCTCTCCCCTGTCACCCCCTCTCTCTCTTTCTCTCTCTCTCTCTCTCTCTCCCCTGTCACCCTCTCTCTCTCTCTCTCTCTCTCTCTCTCTCTATCCCCCTCTCTCTCTCCCTATCTCTGTCTTTAAATTGTTCTCTCCCTGACACTTTCTCTTTCTGTCAGTATTGTTCAAGTATGTTTCTATGATTAATCGCTATATATTGCGTGTGACTGTGTTGAATTACATTATCGAGTAGCATTGTGCAGTATATTATGGATCAAAATCAAACATGCATGCTTAATGTTATTTTCCAAGTCGTAGTATTGTAGTAAGATGAATTATTTATCGCAAAGTTGTAAACAGTTTCCATCAAACAAATCTTCAGTTTTTACTTGTCATAAACTCAATTAATCAGCCTCAATTTCTATTTAAAATATGAATATTCCTCACTTGATAATAATAATTTTTAAAATAAGGATATTGACGAATTTGTACTATGTGTAACTTCAAATATTTAGCAAGTATGTAATATGCAATAAGTTGAATCTGTTTTAATGTGTATTACTTGTACTTGTCTATATCTATATTTTGTTGATTTTCTTAAAATAAATCTGAGCTTGTAAAACTTGCAGTGTAATTAAGCTTTCAGGCAACAATTTTACATATTACTATCCTACATCTACTACCCCCCCCCTAGCCTACATTTGCTACCACCCTACTTCTTCTCCCACCCTAGCTCAACTACCATCCTACTATTACTACCAACTTACCTCTACTACCCAACTACCTTGCTACCATCCTACCTCTACTATAATCCCAATTATACTACCAGTGCCACCCTACCTCTCCTCCCACCCTACCCTCATATCTCTCCTACCATGCTCTACCCCCCCTCCCTCCCCTCCCTCCCTCCCTCCCCTCCTTCATATTTTGATCAACGCTCGTGGATCTCGTGCATAAACAAATTATTCTCAACAAAATGTTAAAATTACTTAACTATATAGTACATGTACCTATAATACGTGTTAACGCTATTGGGCCAGTTTCCCAAAACCGTCATAAGTCTAAAGTTCGTGCGTCCGATATTGAATTGACACGCGTTTCAATGGGATACCTACATACCTAAACAAAAGAGGATTTCGAGAAATTAGCCCATGGTGCTCAGCTCGAGCAAGTACTTTCATGAAAAGCAAATATTATTCGAACTAGAATTGCTTCTTCTCAGTACACTAATGTCTTCACCTTTCATCTCTTTCTCTCATCGACCATACAACAATTCATATAAGATAAGACTGAACTGAACTGAACTAAGATTTTAAAAAACTTCTGTAAGCAAGCGAAGCGAGCAAAGATTTTATTTTTCTTCATACACGATTAATGTTCTCGTACAAGAATTTGATGAATCGATATGATTTTTCATTTATTTACCATCAATAAAGAATATCATATATCTTAATCTTCATTAACATTTGAGACAGCGCTTGGAGGATCTTATACTGCTTTTAAATACATTTTCTCATTTTTTAAATTTTACTTCTGTCATGTATTTACCTGACCTACATTGTGTATGTACCTACATGTTCATTTTATTTTGTTCAGATGGACCCGTATGTTTTATTACACAACAACGCATTTTTTTAAAATCAGAACATGAGATAAATACGTATATTTTTATGTTTACAGAAAGGGTAAATCTACATTAGAATTACAATATCATCGACAATAGGCTATCATGAGTATGGACGCTCGTGCTCATAGAATTGAAAATTAACAAAACTTTATCCCTCCCTAATACTCTCTTGGTTATTTAACGCTGGTGGCAAAGAATATAAAAATACCCCGGCTGTGATTGAAACAGAGATAATGCAATACAATGACCCATTTTGTGTTTGCAATCAGAGTCCAACGATCTTAACGATCAAATAATTTTCATTATTTGATTGATTATCGTATGCATTTCTAGAGTCATATCTTAAAGGTATAAAACAACTGTACTGGATGAAAAACATACATCTCTCAAGATTGACAGTTACATTGAAAAAAGATGCATAGGTTCCCCCTATCCCCTAACCCAGCTAGATATTGTTTAGTAATGATTATCACAAGAAAGAAGCAGAAAACACTGGTAGATGTGGTGACGAACATGATCATGGGGGTAATCCGACAACTGATCCGGGCTTTGTTTCGTCAAAGTATAGGGTTAGGGTTAGGACTAGCGTGAGGGTTAGGCCTTTTAGGTTATAATTAGGGCTGGGATTAGAGTTAGGTATAATGTTTGGTCCCGGATCGAAGCTAGAAATAAGAAATTTATAGCGGAGCAATAATCGCAGGAGCATTTGTTGTAGGACCGATGGTGGCTTGCCGAATCAGACGATCCCTTATAATACTTCGGGAAGCCTTCATGAATCAGACCTACTTTAGAAGTAGAAGAACGAGAATTATTGAGATCCAAGTCGAATTGGCAACAAGGCGAGTTCCCGCCCCACTGACAAAAAGACAACCCTCATAAAGGCCGCGACCAGACGTTGCTTCTCGCGTCAAAGCGATCGTAGCATCATTGCCTTCACGTCCGCTAGGTACGATCATAATCGCGGCCGTTCCATCTGCATTAACTTCTACGGAGAGCCCAGAGCAGCCGTCAACGGTAGTATCCCCACTGATGATATCGCAGTAGGTACCCTGGGGAAGACCAGTCTGCAGAACTTCATTCACGGTGAACTCCTCGTTGTTCAATGCAAAGAATCCCTTGTCTCCTCGAGAGAAAGCGATGGCATTTTCACCGTTGTCCCACCAGTTCTCCACAGCCTCACCCTCGGCGATATTACGGAAACAGACCATGTTACGGATCTCTTGCCAACGATGCTCGCACACCCATCCTCCGTCGCACGTTCCACGGTCATTGATGATGACGTCGTCAATTACACCGTTGTCATTGGATGGTGGTCCCTGGTCCGTATTTTCGAACTCGTAGCTGCTCATGAGACGAGTGGTTCCGTAGTTCCAGGCGAGGGTGAAGGCCACTGCTTTCTTGTATGGGAGTGGTTCTTGGAAGGCCAGAATAGTCCCTCCGGCACCGTGACCGCGCTGGTTGTCATGGTTCTCCACAAAGACAACTGCACTCTCACTCGGCATAAATGTCCATTTGTCATCAAACCCAAAGTCTACGTATTCTGCCGCTGCCTTCGTGCCTCGGCCAAACTGGGCTATCTCATTGCAATACTTGAATTCAGTGACGTCACCACACTCGTAGTACTCATCAACATGAATGGCCTCATTGTCATCAACACCGATGACCTCATTGTAGATCCACGGTCTTCCACCGAATGTGCAGTCATCGAGGCTGTACATGAAAAGAGGAGAGAGAGAGAGAGAGAGAAATAATTAGTCGAAATTGTTAAAGAAATTGGAAAAGAAATTGGTGTGTATTTTTAATGCAAAATCTAAACATTTGAATCACTTGTCAATATTTCTGTTTAATCTTTATTCAGATAATAATTCAAAAAGCACCATCCTACGATAGCAAATCTTTTAAATATTAAAAAAGAACATTTAATTTTGCTTGATATGCAAAGATCGTAGGTTTGATCTCTGGCACGGCATT